GATAATGAGCTTATCTATACGATTCTATACGACTGTGACCATGCGCCCGTCTATACAGCGTTACACACCCGTCTATACAGTTTTACACACCTGTCTATACAGCGTTATACACCTCTGTCCATGCACTCTTATACACCCCCGACCCTGCGCTCTTATACACCCCTGACCATGCGCCCTCTCGTCGTTTCCAACGGGCATTTGTGCCACACATCGCCATCTGCGCCCGCGCATCGAGACGCCCAAGACGATCATCTGGATGGCGCCCGCATGCGGGCTGGGCCAAACACCGCTCATTCCCATCGCTTTCAGTCCCGATCCCTGCCCGAACGCCCGCCCGAGAAACCTGCGCGCCGAAGTAGGGAGCGGGAGATGAGCCGTGCGATGGACGAATCGAGGGGTGGAGGACGGACAGGAACAGGAACACGTGAGACATACTTCCGATACCAGCGCCGTCTTACCGACTATGTCATGAACGGAGTTTGACCTCCGAGCACAGACGTCGGCCCAAGCTGAGCCTAGCCGCAAGGGTTGTGCAGGGACAGGCGCACACGGCGGGGGGCGCTCCCCGGCGCATGCGCAGTCAGTCCTACATGTCTGGCTGGGCGCAGAGGCAGGGCGCCCCCTCCACAACTGGCCGGGGCGCACGGCGCGGTGGGTCGGAGAGAGCGCACGCGGTCCGCTCCGGTGGAAGCGAGTGTGTCTCAGGGCGCCCCGCGCGAGGAAACAGGATAGCGGCAGCGAGCGTGGGTGCGGGTGCGGGTGCGCCGTATGTGCGTCAGCGCGATGGCGGACGAAGGATGGAGGACCCACAGGAAGCCCCGAGTGCCGTCTCCATCTGCAACGGCGCAACACGCCTCGACATGGGCTTCGGATGGGCGTTTGCTTTCGATTCTTGACACGGGTTCGTGGTGGGGCCTGCGCGACTGGATGGTACGCCGATGAGATGGGGCTGTCGGGGCTTGCTTGCTAGTCATCTGCAGGACTCGGGGTACCTGTGGGCGGCTGACTGCCGCAGAGGGAGTAGTGTTGCAACGCGGGATCGTTCACAGTGTATGGGAGCATGGAGAACACGGCAGGTGTACGAAGGTTAATATGATACAGCGTACGCCATGCTTCTGCAGGAGGAGCCTGAAAAGCACATACACGTCGCTCGTCGCTCAAGATGGAAAAGCAGATGGACGCGAACCTGCATCGTGCCCAGCTATGTGGAGTAGCCCTAGAGTCGGCACAGAGGCCACGCAACGACTCCAGACGCCCGCCGTCGGACATAGGGTTTGCAGACCTGCTTACACGAGAGCAAAAAAAGCCAAGGACGTAGATCACGCCCCGCTGGCTGCCCGGGGCGTCTGTCGCAAGTGTGTCCGAGGCAAGGAGGTGACAGTATCAGACCTATACGACCGAGGATGTCCAACTACCCTCACGCGATGCGGCGCGGACCCGTGTCAAGCGTGCAAACCAGGGATAGCGTGATCGGGCCCTCCCTCGCGCTGTGTAGTCGTGCACGAACAGATGGTATTCCTGACCAACATGCGTGAAAAATAAAACCCCAGCAGGAAGGTTTCCGCAGAGTCATCGCGCATCACGAGACGCTGCCACCGGTGTGGTGGCGGGGGCTGCACGGATCGGGGGTGGGCGATGCGTGGACGCGAGGATGCTGCCAGTGGTCGGCGAGCACGCCAATGAGGACGGACTGATGCGAAACGCGGGGGATTTGCGAGAGATGCACGACGCGCGAGGGCCGTAGGACATGCGTCAGTTGGAGGGTGGAGGAGCCATACACATCACTGTCAAGCCTCACCACCGGCGATCGTAGGAGGCAGGGCTGCTCGAACAGAGCGATCATGGGGCGCCATAGTCGACTGTGCTGGCAGCCGCTGTGCCGGCAGGCCCTGGCCAGACAGGGGCTCGCAGTGCGAGACAGTGCAAGCTCTGCACCCGTCGTGCGACAGGACACGGTTGCGCAGGACTCGGTCGCCATACCAGACGCGCACGGTGCTCCCGCCGTTCCTTCGGTACGTAGATCCCCGCATGCTGGCTGGGCCAAACACCGCTTTCAGTGCCGATCCCTGCCCGAACGCCCACACGCGAAACCAGAGTATCGTAGTGTGATATAGCGCAGACTCGGCATGAAGTGCGTCTGTGATAGCGTGGATCAATCATCCTTTGCGCTGTGTTTCCTCACGGTCACTATCACCCACCATCGTGAAAGGGAATCCGCAGGAGACGGCCTCCTCGCAAAGCCATCGCTGTGCTCGCGCATCACGCGACTCGGGGGGCTGAGTGGGGGTTGCACGGATCGGGCATGGGTGATGCGTCGATGAGAGGATGCTGGCGAGGCGTTTGGCAGCGATACGCGTCATCTGCGAGGAGGCTGACCGATGGAGGCGAGTTGATGTGAAAAGGCGGGAGAGTCTGCGAGAGAACGGGAATGTGACGAAGGACGCCCGGGAAGGCCGCCAATCGGACAGGGACGCAGACCCAGGATTGAACGACTGTC